ATATTTAAAACAAAATATAATATTTATTCAATAAATCATAATTTTATATCTTGATATTATATATGATATATTTATATTTATGAAATATATTTTTATGATTTTGAATTAAAATCAATTTTTCTATAAATAAAATCTAAACAAATAAGAACAACAAATTAAATATTAATTTTTAAAATTATGAAGAAATAATCGAAATCAAATTCATCTTCTTTTTCTTCAAATAATTGAAAATACAATTCAAATTCTTATATATAGATCTATTTTCTTCGTAAGATAAGAATTTTTCATCATATAAGAAAACTCTAGATATGAAACAAATATTTCGATAAGTCAAATTCATATTCAAGTTTTTGAAAAAAAATTCAACTATGATTAGCCGTTATATGTGTTACGCCTCCCTCTCTCCCCAAGAAAAGAGATTTAAATCAAGAGCAGCCCCCCCGCCCGCCCTACGTGTCCTTTCTTGTCTTGTCCCCCGCCCTGTGCTCCGCCCCGCGCGCGCCGCGCTCCGCGCGCGCCTTTAATTAAGAAGATTATAGACAATTTTTACAATGAATAGATTGTTTCGCAAAAGGATTAGCAGCAGCGCAAGAAGGTTTTAATATAATTTTGAATATGATTCTTGGTACTAGCTATTGAACGATTAATATTATTTTGATTTCGTTTTAAATAATCATGAATCTCATTATTATAATTCGGAACGACTCTAAGCAAAAAATCATATGATTAGTTGGACAAGTTTTTCAGGCTTGAGAATAGATATAGAAGGACCAGAGATATAAGAAAAAGAAAGATATCTATAGGGAGCGGACATAAATCATCATATCTATATAAATATATAGAAGCTAAACCAGGCCCGAAGCGAAAAAGAAAAATATACGTTCCATAGGGTGCCTTACTCATATATCTTTGGAGGGGGAACGAAGAGGAGGAGAATGCAAATATAAGGTTGCAAGAGTAAGAAAAATATCCCGTTTCACGAGTCGCAAAAAATACAGAAGAAAATTTATATTAATGATCATAAAAGAAAGAGAGCAATATATATCGATATATCAATATAATTGAATATAAATTAAATCAAATTCGCAAAAAAGAGAAAGATATCTCGTTATATAGATGCAAAGAGACAAGAGAGATAGATAATTATTAGAACAAGAAAAATAGGCGCCCTTTATATTATTCGGTCCCGAATATATAAATTAAATAAAGTCCTAAGAAAAAGAATAATATCTAATTCCAAGACGAAAGTGAAGAGAAATATATATAAACGCAAAATAAATATATATGCCGTTAGGAAAAAAGAATAACGAAAAAATATATTATTAGAAAATTATATAATTATAAATTATAAACATTAATATAGGCTAAAAACGAGTCTCGAGATTCAAACCTTTATATTTATATATAAATTCCATCAAATAATATAGAAAAATTATATATATATATATCTATATAATCTTAGTCAAATTCTCTTGTATTCTAAATAATATTATATTAGTTTCCCCGAAATTTTTTAAGAATAAGCAAATATCGAATATTTCAATAAGATATAAATATATACTTAAATAATAAATAAATATATATATACATATATATATAAATAGATAGATAGAAATCATATAAAAATATTTCTAAATAAATAAATAAATATAAATATATATAGATAGATAGAAATCATATAAAAATATTTCTAAATAAAAATCTAGACTACAAATCATTCTAGCCAGACGGACAAATGGGCAGACGGACAGACCCACAAATACACACAGACAGATGGACGGACACAGATAGACAAACAGACAGAATCCAATGACACAATGGCTGTCCATGCTTTTAGATCTCATAGCTACAGCAGCTTCTGCTTGCCAAAAGCAAATAGGAAGACAAACGTATAGACACATAAGACACATACGCCTCGACGCCTGCATTCAGAAAGAGCGGCACCGGAGCTCGCGCTACCAAGATCCTGAAGTGGTTCCTGTTGAAAGTGTCTTGCGTGCCTGACTCACGGCACTGAAATTTCGGCACTCAAATCCTGATGCACTTCCTCTTGCAAGCCTCTTGCGTGCTTTTCGAGCGACACTTAAATCGGATGCGTTTCTTCTTCAAAGCCTCATTTTTTGGGACATGCTCCCAATACTAAAATTTCGGAAATTTTAGTACCGCGAGCATGGCCCAAAAAATTCGGAAATATTATGACCGCGAGAATGCCTACCGAAAATTTCGGAAATTGTATTACCGGGAGCCTGTCCCCCCAAAGCCACACAAATTCCGAAATTTTGTTGCCTAAAGCTACCAAAATTTCTAGTAAGGGAAAGATATGCTCCCGGCACTAAAATTTCCGAAATTTTAATACCGCGAGGGAGGCACACAGGAGGCTTTCAAAAGCAAACGCGCCCAAGGACGAAGTTACAGGGGCCAGGGGCGCGCACAAAAGAACGGAGGCGAGCAGCACGACACCTTTTTACACCTTTTTACTAGAGAATATGTAAAAAAATAAAAAAAAATATATATATATATCGACAATTATAGAATTTATTGTTGGACCGAAATTCCTATTTGACGGATTTATTCGAATGAACTGTATTTCAGTTGAGGTTCTTGAATGGTGTCGATTAGATTTATTCGAAATAATATAAAAATAACCTTTCTATCGGAGCATGCGTGTCCCCGTTTAGCGTCGCTATTTTGAGCATTGACAAGTGGCTCGCGTAGCAGAGAATACCCGCAGTTGTCCCGAGAACATCTGGTGCGCCCATTTCCTTATAGCTGCCCTGTGACACATTGACAGCAGCCTGGAATTCAAGATGCCATCTCCGGATGTTACAGCAGCAAGGCGCTTTCTGAAACCTTCCCAATCCCCATACAAGTTTATCATACCCGGATGATTTGTATGAATATAGAGTGTATATCATAATTACACCCCCGACATTGCTGCTTCAGCTTCCACGTGGGCCTTATAGCTCAGCCGCGCGACCTGCCGCGACAGAACGCAGGTCAACCTTCGCTGAAAGAAGGCGTAAGGGTCAACGGCTTCAGGATGCTTAAGGATTTAGGCTTTAGGAATTAAGGCTTCAGGTTGGGGAGGGTTTTGAAATCTGTAGCTTTAGGGGCTTTGCAGTTTAGGGTTTGGCATGCTCAGTGTATTACTTGTGCAATATGAAGGAAAACCCTAAGCCCGAATACGTAGAATAGGGGTTTCGGGGTTCAGCCCTCTAAGTCAAGGCTCGGGGACTCAGGAGTTTAGGGCTCAAGAGCTCAGAGGGTTTAGGCGTTTACGCTCTCACAACTCGGACAAGCCAGGCGTTTAGGGCTTAGTGTTTGCTGTCCTTGCAACCAAAAGGTTCAATGGTTTACCAGTTAGCTTCAACCCTAAACCTTGCAGAGAGCTCTGAGCTTATGGTTTACTCAGAGTGCTTCAGAAGTTCACAGAGGGTTATATCCTGTGGAGCCGGGTTTAGGGTTTAGGGGTTTAGGGTTACCTCATCATACCCATTTTACCCGGCAGATCAAGAGGTTCCACAAACCGAGGGAAACCAAGCTAGATCTTACTCGTAGTCTCCTGGCTACAAAGGACCCGAACGAGCCCGCAATGACGGAAAACCGGATCCTTGTCAAGAAACTTGCTTACCACAATATGGAGAGCATGTATCAGGTGTCATATATCTCTAGCATGGTGTCTTGGATCTAAGTTCAAAACCTATGTTCAGAACGGACAAACGGGTACTTTGCAAAGATGGCAGCAGCGACACTGCCATGGGGATAAACATGACCAGGACCGGCCACTTCGTACTGCTCACGCTCACCTGGGGCTTAGGGTTTAGAAGATCAACATGGGAGTCGAGGGCTCATAAGCCTTTTTGCTGTAAGGGTGGAGGGCTGGAGGTCTTGATGGCTTCGAGATTTGAGATTTTGGAGTCAAGGTTTTGGGAGGTTTTTAGGTCTCAGGACTTAGGACCCTGAGCTCTCTGGCTTTCCTGCAACAGCCTGCAGACTCAAACCCCCAAGAAGCTGCTCAGATCTCGATGCAAGTCTGCTATGTCAACCCGCAGAATGTAATCCGGGTTACCAGAACGTGTCAAAACCACACGGAGGCTACAAGACCTTCTACATGTGAAATGTGTCGTCTCATGCCCAAAACGAACAGCTGCTCAGTGTCATTTACACACTCTCGCCAACCCACAGCCCTGTCTTCATTCGACACCCGAAATCCGACCCTCCTGCACAAAAAGCTGTTTAAACCAGCTGCATCTCTGCACAGGAGAATGCCGTCGCCGGCACAGTTGTGTCCTGCAAAGAAGTCTGAGTTCTCCAGGGCCTCGCTGAATTCTTCCACGGCCTCAGGAGCAGCTGGACTGAAGGTGGAATTTGGGGTTTGGGGTTTAGGGTTCAAGGTGCAGAATGTAAATGCGGTGATGACTGCGCTTCTGAAACAAGTCTCCAGTGGCACAGGCACGAAGCGGATCCGGGCAAGCTCTACAGTTATTTCAGTGGTGACGTAAAGCCTAAACCCTGTAAGCCCTCATTTACGTGAGCATACCGGCGTCTATCCAAGAGCTCCCCGCACGGAGGTTTCCGCGGTACCCTGTGTGCTTTTTGTCGTCGGCACCGCGCTCCCGCCATCGACCCGTGTGCATTCTGCTCGGGAAGCGCTCCTAAGGAGAGGACTACCGGACTTCCACAGCTACAGAAGGAGACGAAGGTTGATAGAGTATATAGCCCCGCTCTCTACCGTATGGCCCGAATCCCCAAATTCAAGAAATAAGCATAAACCACGAAAAAAAAAACAAGCTTCTGGCTAGTGAGTGTTTCCTCCACTACCCTTGACCCTGAAGTCAAGCAGCCAAATCTTAAAGCCGCTGACCCCGACACCGTAAACCCAAACCCCTCAAAACCCAACCATAAAGCACACCTGGAAACCTCTAAACCCTAAACCCCAAAAAAGGAAGCACTTCAACCTGGAGAACTCAGGCACAAAACACAGGCTCTTTCCCCGGACGCTCTGCCCCCGACCCCCCCCTTCCGCACACAACAATCAGCACTCGGAACTCAACAGTCCTCAACCCCAAACGCGTAGAGCCCTAAAGCCTACCTATAGTCTCCATTGTAGTTCCCTTTTTTGGGGGGTTTAACCAGTTTTAATAGTAAGGATCCGTTATAAGGTAGCCCCAAGAAGGAACTACAAGGGAGACTTTAGGTAAATCCAAAACCCTAATGGCCCGAAGCTCCAAGTCCCGTCATGAGTGACGGACGAGACCCTTTTCGAGCAACAACGAAAAATGTCAGAACACCTTAACTCAGGAGGGCTTAGGGGTTTAGGCGTTTAGGTTTAGGATTTAGGGTTTAGGGGCTTACTGAGGAGCTGAGTACCCTAGCCCCAAGAAATTTAAGCTTTCAAGTTAAAGTAGGGCACAGGGTAAAAGCTTACCAACTCAGCCCTTCAGTTCCGATAACCTTAAGCCTTGCAGAGGTGATAGGAATTGTGATACGGTTCTACAGGGTTTGGGAAGGGCTAGCACAATAAACAAGAGTGTCATCGGGTGCTTAGCCAATTGCACCCCTTCATACAAGCCCTTATTTAAAAGAACACACTTATACGACCTATCAGCCCTTTATAGCAACTCCTAATACTAAGCCTAAACCCTAAACCCTTCAACCCAAGAAGTCCCCCCCGGGCCTCGGTACAAGCCGAGTTGTGCAACAAGGCCGCATTGCCTTGACAAGCTGTGTAGACCTGAGATGTGCTGCTCAGGGGTTTAGGGTTTAGGGAAGAGGGGTTTAGGGGTTTAAGGAGAGAGGGTTTAGGGTTTCACAGGAAGTACTAGTAGTATGTAGGGTATTTGGGGTCCATGGTCTACAACCTGAGACGTACTAGCTGAGCCTTGCTTAGCAATGTAGGGGTCTCAAAAGGGCTGACTATAGTATCCCCTTATATAGCCCGTGGCCAGTAAAAACCCATGTCTACTAGAGTGTACCCGAAAAATCAGCTGAAGCCATCAAGGACCTTGTAGCACGACCAAAATTTGGAAGAACTGTGTTGATGTTTATAATGCATGTCTCGGACGGTATATCTCTGCTGTGTCCTGGAGCAAGTCGTTGTCTTCAGCGTACAGCTTTTCAGAGTTCGTGCTGTCTTTCGGGGCCACTTGGCCCGTTCAAATGCTGGCTTTAGGGTCACACATCTTCCCGGTACCTGAAACAGGATTCCCCTTGTAGAACCCTTCTGGCGCCCTCCAGGACCCTTATGGGGACCTTCCGTGGTGTTCGGAACTGGGGTGCTCGGGATTCAATGAAACTCAATGGTTCGACTCCTATACGGGTGGGTAGGGGACTTGGCTCTTGTCCTTTTGAACGGGTTTAGGGTTTAGGGGGTTCGGGTTTAGCCTCCTGGATAGGCTGTTAGGTGTTTGGGGCTTTTGGGGTTCAGGTGCTGCGGACGTCCGTCGGGCTGCAGGATTTTCCGAGTTACCCGAAGCTCCTTTACACTGGCAGCCCCGAAACCTTGAACACCGCAGTTTTATGCTAAATCAGAAATGGCATAAGAAATGGTACAAGCCAAGGCCCTCAACCTGTCAATCCTAAAACGACATCATACTGTCAAGCCTTCTGGCTCTAGTCTGCATCCAGAACCCTGTAAATCCTACATGCCCCTAAGCCCTAAACCCTGCTCAAATCAACCGCCGATCCCAGAAGCAGCCAGATGGAATCCGCAGAGCATGCTAAAGGACAGGGCCAGAAGAAAGAGGAGGATGGCCAGGCCATCCTGCTCTTCGAACACAACGGCCTTTTCAGTTGTTGATATCTTTTTGCCTTTAACTTTTAAGTTTCAGAGCCATTTCAGTCAGACGGCAATATGGCACCAATATATATTTGATGAAGTTTTTGAACCGGGCTTTGGGGCATATAACAGTAAGCTTTGTGCGGCTTAGATTCTGCAGTTTCTTCTTCCACGAGTTCAAGACACCTGCAAGCTGAAAACACCCATGTTTCGTATCTACCCATGCCATCTCGAAAGATGCCCCTAGCCTAGCAACTTGTCCAGGTGGGTGCCGAGTTTCAGACGTTGATGCTGGTAGTCCAGTGACACTTGATCAGATGCAACATGCTTCCTGTGCCCCGACGATGATTTTCTGAACTCAATCTGCCCCTTGCGAAGAAGGCTTGCGTCCTGAACGAAGGAACCCTGACACTGATTGGATTAATATAGGGGCCAAAATAATCAGAAAAGTGTCTGGCGGGAAATGGAACTCTTGTTCAGGAGTCCTGGTAAAATCCGCGCTTAAGAAATTCAGTTGGACAGTTTAACTCATCAGCAACCGGAAAACTGGAAAACCAATTATTTATGTACCACAGGAGCGTATATATTGTTCTGGGAACCCACCTCAAATACCTCACCCTATAAAATCCTTGACAAACCCTTATCCAACGCTATGTACAAATCAGGCTTCTGACCTCCAATCCTTTTAACCCCCAGCAACCAAAGCGCCTAAACCCTTAACCCGTAATGACGCCCTAAACCCAAAACCATGGCTTAACCCCTATAGAAGCTTGAACGATGAAACACAATACAGAATCCCGGGTCCAGTAGAATCTCCATGGCCAACGCGCTGCAGCAGCGCGCGCAGCACTGAGCTGCGCCTAGGTTCCCCAAGTAATCCCTTCGGAATCAAGACGTCGTTTCGGTTTTTAGGTTGTAGGGTATTTCGGAGTGTGAAAGCTTGGAGTCTTAACCCCTTACCAAAACGAAATGTGCCGCCTTTTCTAGTATCCAGGTTTGATAAGGAGACTCCCGTGACTACCAGAGAAATAATAAGGGTACTGCCGGGAGATCTAGGCACGCAGGGCATGTCGCTTCCAGCCCTCCGGGGCTGATCCGAGGAGGGAGCTGTTCGCTGCCTGCGAGGGGACTTGAGACAATTCAAGCTCTTCCTTGGGGGATCCCATTATAGTAAGGATCTTTTCTGTGTTCTCCTTGTGAGGATGCCCTGTTGATGCTGCATCGCTATTTTGGGTGCTCAAGATTATGGCTACCCAGCGTATCTCAATAATCGACTTGCTGGAGGTGCCACCTATGCATGTGTACATATTTGGCATACTTCTCGAATTGTGCGTGTCATCCTTGCGCAGGGGCCATGCTAATCTTCTCTGTATCGTTCCAATTTTATCGGAAGATTCCTATATATATATATACACATACATGCCCGGTTTCGGTTATACATACATACATACAGACATACATTACATTACATTACATTACATTACATTACATTACATTACATTACATTACATTACATTACATTACATACAGACATACATAGATATATACATACATACATACATACATACATACATACATACATACATACATATATCTGTCCGTATTTGTGCAGGCAAGTATATAGTAGCGTTTACAGCCTTGCATGGCTTTGCAGCTTAAGGTCTGCGAGTTAGCCTCAGACCGGCGCATGGTATGTGTTTCTTTGCTCATATAAGGTTTAGGGCCTACAGCTAGGGTTTAGGGTAAGGACTGGGGCTCTAGGGTTTGGTGTTAAGGTTCGGGGTATCTTCGCGTCCTGATCGTGCTGCAGCATGAAGAGGTAGGCTAGGACCAGCGCCAGCACCACCAGGACGCACACCATCATGACCACGCCCAAGATGGTATATACCCATGCGAGCTCATCCAGTGACTCCTGCAACTGGTGCACAGGCAAACGTATGAGTCCGTGTCTTTCTGCGTTGCTACCCCTTCTATGAACCAGACCTCCGGCAGCCCCGCTGTTGCTCGCATGTGCACATGGTCTGGTCCTACTCTGATATCAACTGCTGTTGGCGGTATAATCTGTTGTAGAGCTGCCTGTACCCAAGCTTAAACCGAATGCCTGAAGCCCAAACTCCAACCCTAAACCCTGAAGCTTAAACCCTACACCCCTGGGCGGCCAAATAAGTCAGAAGTTCAGCTTCGTTTGACAAATGTCGGATGTGGTCGGCATTCAAGGCTTGGTTCGTGGCCCCAGTGCTGAAGCTGTCTCAGGTTTAGGGTTTAGGGTCACAACATTTCTGAATTTGGAGCAAGCCAGCAGAGGCACACAAACGGGGGCGCAGTATTCGCGGAGAGCGGCAGCTTTGCTGTTTGCCGTGCACGCCGACATCGTCCTCCTTAGCACCTGTGAAACAGCACTGTGCTGCCAGCCTCTGGCGAAAAACAACGATCTGCCCAATTTCCAACAGAGCACTGAGAAGGCATGCTTCCTTCGGCAGGCCAGGCAACTATAAACACTGTTGAAAAAACAGATGACATGTGGTAGGTGTCAATTCAGCATTGCGGCTAAGAAGTCAAGGGTGCAGAGTTCATGCGAACTGCTGTTTGGCTATGCACGACTGGTTTGATTGGCTTGCCGGTCACGCTTGAAAGAAATTGACCTTGTGAGAATGAGCCGCGCTGCCAAGCCGAAGGCGGAATTCATGGCTTGCACAGACTGGCAGAGCAATTAAGCAATCAAAAATACATTCTGCGTCCACCACTTTTAAGCATCAGCGGTACTTGGAGACGCTGTGACACAAACGAAAATCAAACCGAGATTGGCATCCAGGGTGATCGTCACATCAGCATGGCGGCTAGTGCGACGACTGCTCGTGGGCACCGCAGGCAGAAGCTTTTCGCAAGAACAATCGCTTCCAGCCTTTCTCGTCACGCAACCGGCATGCCATCTCGTGTGCGCAGCAGCGACAAGCCGGGGCTGGATCTTGGGCAAAGAAGCTTTGAAGTCTTGGAAACTGCTCGGTCGAAAAGCCCAACGAGGGCCAACGAAAAACCTGTTTTTCCGTCGGAATGATTGGACACAATAGTTCGCAAACGGAGATCGTCCGACAAGCTTAAGGCGGTACTTTCGGTTCTCTTCGGTCTGGGGAAATGCACCGAGCCACCTGACAGAATCATCAGGCATAGCAGGTTCGTAAGATAGTTAACGATTCCTCCATACCTCCAAGCAAGGCTCTAAAACTTGTTCATGTACATCCTCATGGCGCCGAAGGAAAAAACGTGCACTGCGATGAAAAAATTGGCGAGCAAGATGCCTGCTTGGGGAGCAGCGGAGGGCCTCGATTGCGAAGGCCAGCTCGCCTTCCATGTCTTGTGTGGCATCAGGGACATCATCCTGTCTGCATTCTTGCAGCTGCTTCTGAGGAAAGGCAAATGCGAGCAAAATCAGAGCTGTCACGCAGCGAACAGCAACGACAAAAAGGTTGTCCAGGTAGCGCGGTACCAAATTTAACGTGATCAGCAAGGGAAGATACAAAACATGAACGAAGTGAGATAGCCGGTTTGTTAGCCAAGTGAAGGGTAGCGGCTCGACGAATGCTTCTTCCAGAGCCAGGAGTCTGTTGATGATCGTTTGAATACACCACGCGACGCTACTGTAGCCGATGTGCCTACCACCACGGAGAAATGCATGGACGAGCGCATCCCGGCGCGAATCCCGGATGCCGTCCTGGTTTACATCAGCACGTTGACACGTCGAACCCAAATCCAAACGAGGCAATGACCTGCGCGAAAAAAAATGAACTGAATGCATCGAATACACTCGCGGATGCTGGCAGAAGGCGGATGATCCGCCAGCACCACGTACATCACCGCCGGTGTAGTAAAGCAAATCACCGACAGCTGAGCACGCATGTAAGCACAATTGTTCCTGAAGCTGTTCCCAACAATGTCCCGCGTAGCCGGGTCGAGCTCACCGCAGCCCTGTCTTCCACCAAAGTAGGTAAGTAGGTGACATATTCGCACTTGCTGCAGGACGTGCTCAAAGAGCTGGCATGCTCGGAACTTGTTTGGAAACACGTTTCCAACATTTTCTGAGCATGTCAACTCCTTGAGGACCTCCTGCAGCAAGTGCGAATGTGGCGCTCTGGTTGCATTCTGGTGGGGAGATCATCTCAGGTCTACAGAATTAGCGTTCCTGCTACGATCACCAATCTACAACTTAGATGCCCCCACTACAACATGGGACAACATGGACGAAGTAAGGGCCACGCAGGGTTTACACCATTCAGGGGAGTGCGGACATGCATGCGGCCACCAACACTGCTAGAATTAGTCGGAACATGAGCATCCCATTCTCGCAATCAAGACACTGCTGTCCTCTTGCGGGCTGCACTCTTCTACGAGAATTGAAAGGAGCAAGCAAGTTTTCATTGACACGGTTGCTGAAAGTGCAACCTTCCGTGGCTTTCAGAACTAAAACCCCAAGACCGAGAACCACGAGCAGCCAGAGCAGAGGGTCCTTCGTAGTTCGTCCGACCTTCCGCACCCCCACCTGGGCAGTTCTCTAAACTAGGGTCCCAATATAGTACGGCACCCTTATAAAAATACAGAAAGGGCCCTAAAAGGGGCCCTAATTGAGAGAACTACCCACCTCCAAGAACTCGAACTCTCCCTTGGTGTCCACAGCGGCTTCCGTCACCGAGATGGAGATTTGTGTAACCTGAGCAAGGGATGGGCCGCCGTGTGGTTTTCGGCTCTCGGGCTGGTAAGTTTCTGGTTTAAGCATTTAGGGGGTTTCGGGTTTCGGGTTTAGGTTTAGGGTTCGGGGCATCGGGTTTAGGGTTAGGGTTTAGGGTTTAGGGTCTCGAGTGTTTAGGGTCTAGGGTTTAGGATTTCGGGTTCGGGTTTTGTACAGGCTGACATTGGGATCTTGATAGGTTTGCGTGGCGGGTTTTGAGGCTTTTGGGGTTTGGGGTTTAGGGTTCAGGAGCCTGCAGAGTACTAGTGTCGCCGCCGCAATGCCGGATGCTGGCCTTTCTTCGATATGCACCTGGAGACCCTTCTTGCACGATGGCATGACTCGAAATGCAGAGGATAGCGAGTGCTGAGAAAGGATGTTTGGTAGAAGGGTGACAGCGAGTTCCGTTGCTGGGTTGCCCTTCCACGCCTTGTGGGGCATGACCGAGAGTTTCGGACCCTGCTGTAGGGGCCTCCATCATCAGAATAGGGTTTTGATCTCGTCTACAGGATATGTATCATAAGAAACCCTAAGGAATATTATTGGTAACTCTTCAGGCCGATTTAGGCTTCTATATTGAGGCAGCATAGACAAAGGTCAGTTTGGCAAAAAACAGAAACCGCTAACATAGATGGAGAAACCTCGGGCATAAGAGGAGAACCCAGAAGCATAAGAAAACGACCGTGTCGGCGACAGGATGGAGGCATGAAGGTCGATGGGAACATTAGGTGGGCAGCATAAAACTTTAAAACCTTGAGCACAAAAATTAAAGCCCAGCCCTTCTAAATTGCACAAAAACCCTGCCAAAATCCCTAGACCAGCCCTGAAGCTCATGTTCGAGGTCGCCGGTTCAAGCTTGCAGCCTGCGTTCCGGCTCAGGACTCTGAATCCAGCAGTCGGGTTCTCGGGACTCTAGATCTTGATCACCAGTGTGACCGTCATCACCAGCAGAAGCCGCGTCAAGGTCGTCATCATAATCACTTTCGCTCTCATCGCCCCCATCATTAGCATCACAATCATGCTCAACATGTCTATCTTACTTTACTTTTGGCAACCACCCACACCGATGCTAGCACCCTGATGAAAACATATACAAGGTTTTCACACCGAGAGTGGTCGGAACATCAGACATGCGCAACGAAAAGACCCATTGCTTATGAGCAATGCCTGGTGACCGTTCCGCCCTTCAGGCTGTGGAGCTTCTCACTCAGCATCCTGGTAATGTGGTTGACATTGGTGAAGAGGAGCTTAGCCGCGGACTGCGTCGAAGATGTCAGCTCGTTGAAACCCTTCACCACCCCATCATCCAGCAGTTGGCTCATTTCGGGCATGGCTTCATCATGAAGCAAGCTGAAGGGGTCATGAGATTTCATCAGTGAGTCCACCTTCGCTTGGGCATTTGGGCTCATCGTCTTGGCAACCAGCTCCGAGACATTACCGGTAAAGGTCTCGCACATGTCGTCCATGCGCCGCAGCATCTGTAGGGCAGACTGCATCTGCTGCGTAATCCTCCGGGCTGCGGGCTCATCAACACCCGAACTAACTAAACCAAATTCCAGAGGCCAGAGGCTGATTAGTCCGCACATGCTCCTAAACTCTAAACCCTAAACCCCTAAATCCTAAACCCCTAAACCCTAAACTCACTAAGGGCTTCGGCTCAACCGCCCCCCCCAAGGAAGATCTTCCGGAACCATGGCTCCATTCTCAGGGCTTGGCGACTCTTCGAGAACGCAGCTTCTGATAAACGAGAACCCTTAGCAGCTACCGTAGCATCAAAATAGCCCCAAAAACGCCTTATATAATAGGGTCTTTGGGCCCAAAAGCCTTAAATAATAGGGTCTTTGGGCCCAAAAGCCTTAAAAATATGAGTCCTCTGAGGGTAAGGATAAAAAAGACAGCTTTGCACTCTTCGGGCACTAGCGCAGAAAATCGCAAACCAGTCTTTGCATGCCTTCGTGCATCGTAAGCACCCTTTTCCACAGGCTTGAACTGAGCTCGTAAGCACCCTAAACCCTAAACCCTAAACCCTAAAACCCTCGGAGCTAAGAGATGTAGGGGTGTTAGAACTCTAGCTTGGGTCTTCAAGGTCTCGGGTCCCTTCCAGCTGATCCGTCGCGTTGGTGAGCCGGTATACTGCCTTGGCACGGGGCTTCGTCTTAGTTTGGATTCAATGCCTTTCCCTTACCCTCAACTCATATTTTAAGGCTTTTGGGCCCAAAGACCCTACTATATAAGGCTTTTTTGCTATTTTGATGCTAAGGGTTTTGGTTCACTGGGCAGTTTCCGACCAAGGCTGACATCCTCGGCTGACATTGCGGCTGCCCGAAGAGAGTGTCCTATCGAAACCCGGCGACATGTCTCGACTTCACAGCGGCTTTCCATGTAGCCTGGCTTAGAGTTTGTAGGGGTTTCGACTCACACACTCGCACAATGCAGGCAGGGCTTCAAGAGAGTCCGAGTTTAGGGTGTAGGGATCCTCCGAGCATGCATGTTTCTTGACCAGGCACCTCTTGCGTTCTCGCTGGTAGGTGAGGTGCCAACAACCTGCGGAGATGAAATCCAGGAGCACAACAGGTGTAATCTAGGTCCTTGAAGAATAGAGTACGTGATGATATACGAGCTGCATATAAGGAATGCAAGTGCAAGGTATGGAAGCGCCTCGCATCCTCGAGACGGAAGCCAAAGCCTTACCAGCACCCTGGGTTTGAATTGGATACTCCTACGCTCGCCCCTAAGCCCTAAACACGAAACAGCCCTCATGGCTTCCTTTAATAAGGGGTCATTTGGTCCCTAGAGCTGGTTTAGGGTGTGGTTTAGGGGCTTAGGATTTCTTAGGGGTTTAGGGTACCAAGCCCCCTGAACCCAAAAGAGCAAGCCTGAAGGCGAATTCTGAACTTCGCTCAGGCGCTGTGCGCCGGCTTCGAACCGCCGCATTGAGCTCGTTGCTGAAGCCAGATACCTGAAGGACCAAAGGAACTCAAAAGGGGCTTTATGGTTCATGTTCGGTTCATATAATAACAACCCAAATGATGAAAGGTTTGTACTCTAGAAGATGGCCCTTAAGGTACCTGGAAACGTCTGCTTGTGCTTTGCAGTGTTGGCTATGTCCCATGAAAAGGGTTATGTATAAGAGACTCCTTAAGGTGCCTCGAACCTTGCACTTTCCGTTCAAGGTGTTTGGGGGTCTACTCCATAGGGTTTAGGTTTAAGGTCGCATTTCTTTTGAGCCTCCATTTTTCTAGACCGCTTGACTGACACACACACACACACACTTATACTTGGGCAGGGTGCCCCATGTGTCCCGGTGCCTCAAATTCTACTTCCAAACTGATATTTACCTTTCTTCACGAGCCCCACAGAGGAAAAGCAGATAGCGCCATAAGCCGCCCCAAACACCAACCCCCCCCCCAACCAAAAAAACAAAAAAAAGGTACCCTCTGGCAGAGCTAAATGTCCTCTGCGGTCCAGCTGCTTCGAGATCTTCTGCCAGGGCATGGACTTTATTCCTGATTCCGATTTGAAGGGTCTGGAGGTTTAGTGTAGGGCATCCTGCTTGAGGGTTTGGAACTCAAAAGCCCCGAGGTCTATACCTTAAATACGATGGAGCCTGTTCTTTTTTGGGTCGCCATCGACACTTCGACCCATCTCCCAGGGTTCCATGCGTTTTGAGCCTGTTGGCATAATTCTGTTTCACTCGGTCAAGACCTTTTGCAAGGGGGGCCCAAATCCAAAGCATCTTAGCGGACTGCAAAAATCAGGGAGTTTAGTTTCAAGCGTAAACCCCAGAAGGAGTTGGCAAGCCTCAACGTTTGAAACTCAATTCGAAACTCAGTTCTAGCGAGCTTGCAACAATCGCCATAGACCATCGGTTTAGGATCTACGGATTTGGGGTTCAAGATTGCGACTCTCGAGGGTTTCGCAGCTTGGGCTTGAACAACAGTCTGTGCAGTCTTTCTATCTACTTCCTCTACTCTGCCAGGGCTCGGATGCTTCATGGTTTGAGCTTGAAGCTTTTTGTTGTTCAAGTGGGGGCGTTTTCGCAGTGCTGTGGTGTCGTGGTTTCTTTTCTTGATAGGGGGCCTGATGGAAGCATACGAAGAAAACAGCCGAAGCTGGACCGTCACTAGTGTCGAACAACCTGCACATGCTGATATTCTGTGCCCATATTGAACAGAGGCGCTTTCTTCGACATCAAGCAGTATTCGTGAGGCGACATAAAGCATCAGCATCAGCTTCTTGTAGACTCCCTGCGCGGTACCCTGCAGAATCTCTCCAGATTGAGCCAGTTGAACCAAGTCCCGTGCCTTGGTTTCAATCACCTCACAGCCATCGATCATGTTGTCGATCTCCCTGGGAAGCTGATGGCGCACGTCTCCAGCCGATGCTCTCAATGCATGCTTCAAGGCATTTAGGGCCTCGGACGTGAAGTTTGAAAGGCTCACAGTTCTCTCACCTGACACGGCCACGCGATGAGACAGGTCCAGACAGCCAAAGAAGCCAAGTGCGATAGCGATGAGAATCACTATAGTCACCACAAGTGTACATAAATCAAGCCATTGTAAGGGACGCCCACTCTTCTCAGCTGCGTTGTCTGACTCGTCGTCAGAGTCAGACTCATCTTCGAAGCACTTTGCTGTTTCCGGCGACAGGGTCCGCATGGCGCCAGGAGCAATGAAACAGCTAGCGCTTCCGTCGTGCGTCCTTGAGCCGCAAGCCACGTTCATTGCGCAGCTAGGCAGCGGGTCTCGTGCAAGCTCTGTCTAACAAGAATGCGCACTTCTGCAATTCTCCACTCCACCCGAGTTTCTTTCAGATCCCCTAAACCCTAAGCCTATTTCTGAACCCCTAAACTCTACCATCGGCTCCCAGGACCCAAAGGCTCTGCTAGAAGAGCATCGTCTGAAGAAAGCCGAAGGCTTGTCTTCTGGCGCATCGAATCCCACAAAAAGTCTCCGCGATGTTCCCCATGTGTGTCTCTTTTTTGCAACGAAATAAGCCTTATTCGGCGCTCGAGTCGGGGAGAAAGTATCGCAGGTGACCCTCAGCCAGAGCTTGGTCCAGGGTGTCAGGGCTGTAACCTTGGCACGTCTTAAAGAGCTGATCTTCCCAAGGCCCTCAACACCCCGAAAATCCCCGATCACCCCAAAGCCCTGACTAACTCCCTACATGTACCTTCAAAAATCACCCTAAAACCCATCCACTGCTTCCCAGAGGACTTCTCCCGCAATGAAAGATCAGCTGAAAATCCGAGGTTGAATCGGCATTTCGACATGCCAGGACTTGCACGTATAGGTCACCTCGGTATGGCCGACGACTCTTTCGGATTCAGAAGGTTTTTTCTGAGCTCCGATAGGTCACTTGTTGCTTTTTCGGGCTTTCTTGACATCTGTCGTAGGGTTCATACAGGACGGAGAACTGATGGTTTTGAACGGATGTTTATAGGGAACCATAGAGGTTTGGTAAGAGACGTATCTACGAAACCTAAGGTGCCATACAAGCCATGCCTTTCTATTTGCCTCAGCAAGAGCCAAGCCACTCTCCTCCATCAGCTGCTGCAGTGGGACAGAAAGTGTAAAGGAATAGTGATATGCATGCCAGTTCGACATATTCACACCACACCGACGACTCCATAGCACCATCACTTCTTCCTTGGACGAGCTTAGGGCATAAGTATGGCTTTGCGGCTTGAGAGTGTTGGGGTTTCGGGGTGAGGACGGCCCAGGGGCTCAGACTGACCAGCTTCTTTCTGAAAGCACGCGCTCTACTTTCGAGCCCGCACGACCACTTCCTGAAATACCACCTTCAATCCTGAACTAAATGAAACCCTATACATACCACAGACCCCAACCCTAAACATTTCACTAGGACCCAAAGCGTGACAAACAAAAGCAAGCAGCAAGCAAGGCTGGGCCCGCACTGGGCTTCAGGCATCGCCACCCATCGATATCGCTAGCGCGTGGCTGCACAACGAAAAACTCAGTATGCTCCGATTTGTCCAGGTCTATGGCGGTCCTGGCGAGTTTCTGGGTTTGGGGTTTAAGGATTTTGTTTAGGGGCCCTTAAGCCACAACCTCGTACTATTGGGCTCAAGTCTAAATCCTGAAGCCCGGAATTTGCCGGGCCGCTGGGTCTCACAGGCGAACAGATGAAGGGTTTACCGGAGAAGCAATCGAAACATATGGTTGATAGAAATCCTGCATTACCTTAAGGACCCTAAACTATGGGAGTTATGGTATATTCCTTATCATGGGTACTGCAGGATTTATATCATCAACCGTAGTACGAGTACAGGTACTAACTGAGCGAAAAGTCACTCCAAACATGGACGCCATCAGCACCGTCATCACAAGCTGCTACAGCTATACTAGGTGACGAGGCCCTACATTCGCCAACACAGCTCTGGTGCTGACATCAACAAAAGTCGCTCAATGCTCGAATACTCAACTACATCCTAAACCCTAAAGATAGGTTGATAGTCATGCTTGTATGCCAGGATAGCAAACTTGGAACCACCAAGTCTCACCACAAGGCAGCCGGGCATCAAGCATCTGAGGTGCCGACTTTGCACCTTCCTTCATAAGGCTCTACACAGTTGTGTTCGGGAAAGTTCAGGGTTTTGGGGTTCGATCATGAGGATTCTATACATGGGGGGTTTCCGAAAATAGGGGACCCTAATAAAGTACCCTCAATAGTAGGATCCTTATTATAAGGACCCCAAATTAGGGACCCCAAATTTTCGGAAACTCCCAAATCTTCGAGACCAGTCCTGGTCGGACTCCGGAGGTCCGTGAGGGGAAGATCCGGCTCGGCTTGGATCTTCCTTGGGGTTTAGGGGTTAGGGTTTCTGGGTTTAGCGTTTAGGGTTTATGGGTTTAGGGCTTAGGGTTTAGGGGTTTATAGTTTGGGGTTTAGTGGTTTCGTTGTTAGGGTTCGGGGCTTAGGGCTTAGGTCGTCCCCACGAGAGCCTCTAAAGCCAACTTTTTGGGGGGCGCTCCTTAGTATGATTTCCGTCTTAGGAATCCTTAAAAGCAGGTTAGGTTCTTTTGGTTTAAGGTAAACCCTACACCCTAAAGGGTAAACCGTCACACAAGAATAGTACGTGGGTTTAAGGGTTTATATGAGGTTTACTGTAGGCCCGAAGATGATAGAATATGGCAGAATGGTACGTAGGATTGACGGGATTAGGGATTGCGAACTGTTAAGGGTTAAGAGGTTCGTTCGAGTTTGGGGGGCTTAAGGTAGTGATTGGGACACGCAACCTGGGGAAAAAAGGTACTACTGGCAGACCTGGCGTCGTCGTCTGGAAGGTTGAGAGTAGAGTTGGGACGGCCAGAATGCCGTAGCCAATCAACATAGAGCAAGCCTGGATAAGGATTTTGCCTCTGGGGTCTATACTGGGCTGTAGGTGTCGTCAAACTGGGGAGGCTGTGGGGGGATCCTATCTCTCTATTTCTTGAATCTTTCTGGTCATGGCAGAGAGAGATAGCTAGATGAGGATCTTGCGACCTCGACTCTAAGCCCGAAACCCCTTCTTGGCAACCGGCTTGCAACATCACGCCTGAACAGCTCTCTTCCACGCCCCTACTAAGCCGCTAAGACCCCGAGGGCTTGAAGGGTTAGCGGTTAGAGCTCCACATGGCTTTCGGCTGCCAGTGGTCTGTTCGAAGGAATACCCATATATCAGGAATGCCCGCACATAAGCAGCCCTGTTTTAAACTACAGACATAGAGTTCTGAACAGCAGAGGAAGAGTTGTACAGACGTTGTACTAGTAGTGGTAGTGGTAGTTGCAGCAGTTGTGGTAGAGTGTGCTTGCACCATGGTCAGGGAGGGAGGGCAAAGTGACGCCTCATTTTGCTCGGAACGTGTCACTTTGCCGCCCCAAAAACGACCAAAACAACCAAAATTACGAACATGATGCATCCCTACTCCCCCCCTGAAGAAGCGCACTGACAAACACGAGCAAAATGACCCTTTTCAGCATGGGCTTGGATTGTGTGCGAGCGAACACTCCTCAACAGCAGCTCCTGCGGTTGCATCCCTCGTTAAACCAGAATGACCCTAAAACCGAAACTCCCTAAACCAAAATGAGCAAACATCGTTTAATTAAAGCGGTTCTGTAACGCCCCTTCAAGTGTAGTAGTAGCAGTAATAGAAGAAGTAAGAGTAATAACAGTACCAATGCTAACAGTGATAGGTAATATTACTACATTTAGTAATTGATGGTATTTAGTAGTAGTGGTTGTAGTAGTATAGTGGTAGTTGTCGTCGTCGTCGTCGTCATTGTAGCTGCAGCGGCGGCAGGCTTGAACATCAAGACTGCCGAACTAGACATGAAGAAACGAGTTCCCAAGGGGCCGCAAACAATTTGCCCAGCGAAGTCTGTGGGACGACGTCGCCATAACCGACAGTTGTCAAAGTCACTGTGGCCCACCACATTCCATGTGGAATTGATTCGAAGCCGTTGGCACCATCTTCGGCGGCATAAAGGCATGTCCCCAGCATCAGCACCTCGGCGGGAAATCCTACAGCTTTGATCTCTCTCCCCTCAACGCCGGAAAGGTGAGCAAGGACATCAAGGGCGCGATGACCAGGATTCCGAAGAGGAAGACATTGATGAACCGGAACTCGTTGCTAAGGGCATGCGACAGCTGCCGACACTCCCGGATGTAGTGCATGAGCTTCCTGGGTTGCAATTTACTCGCCCCTGACTTCATAAACGCCTAGCACCCTAAACCCTAAACCCTAAATCCTAAACCCTAAACCCTAAGCCCTAAACCCAAAAAAGACGCTCAAAGGCTTCCCAAAGTGCCACCCAACTTCAGCAGCCGAAGCATCCGCAAGCAGACGAGAGGCTGGCAAAGGTCGGCGTCTTGACCCGGCCCGACCAGGTCGCCTCCGCTTTGGGGGGCCTAAAAGGGCCCTGCAAGGTGGAAAATTTAGGGCTGAAGGTTTAGGGTTTAGGGTTGAGGATTTAGGGTTTAGGGTCGAGGATTTAGGGTTTAGGGTTGAGGATTTAGGGTTTAGGGTGTACATTCTTATGTTTTAGGGCCCTTGGGGCCTCTTAATGTGTCGACTCTCGGAGCTCGCACACAGGCAGGCTTGGCTCCGATCCGGCCCCACACGCCGACTCTAAGTCCCCATTACCCGAAGACTCCAAATGGCCCAAAGTAGGTACCATTTATAAACTTTAGAATGGTTTATGGTAGGGCTATCCATACCCCCCCCAAAGGCTAAGGGTTATTTACTCGGCAGCTGAGTTTCGACTCTCACACTCGCACGCAGCAGGCAAGGCTCATGGTTCAATCTCCTCAAGTGTGCCCAGTACGTTCAGGTCATGCCAGCCATCCCAGCACCCCAAGCAAATTAGCATAAGCAACCACCAAGTCACATGACCTGAACCGCACTTAGCCTCGTCATCGACATGTCAGGGACATTGCCCCGCGTCTGTTTCAAAAGATCTATGCACTACTCTCTCCATGGCTCAAGCAAACAAAACTCAACTAACATCGCAGTCGTACTACCATGTCAGCTTCCCCAGCTCTGCATATTTCACACAGCTGTCGAGTGTCGTCTCGCCATCGTTGTGCCGTTACATGCAGCATGCAGTAAGTTTCACTCCATAAATTCACCTCGCAACCTGACACAGATCCACCATCAGACCATTCCACCAGAATTCATCATGCAGCAGGTGTCATAGCAGCCGACCATTCCACCAGAATTCATCATGCAGCAGGTGTCGTAGCAGCGTTGCTCCAATTCATTCATGACACAAATTGAGACTTCATCATGCACTGTCTCCAGAATTCAACATGCACTGGCTTGCAGCAGGGTCTGCTATGTAATTCCCAATTCGACTTTCACCATGCCAGCGAGGACCCCACCCAGCTGTAACACCAACCAGATATGAATTCTCGCCGAGTCATTGCATATGCAGTCTCGTCCAGTCATTGAATTCTGTGCCTGTCGACATTGCTTGCATACCATGCATCGCCAACAACACCCACGTGCCACCAGTCATTCTGTGTCATGCCACCCTAACAATATGGCTTGAAGTGGATCCTTGCTTCACAAGTCAAGCCTGCTGCCCCGCAAGTACGACATGTTGTCTCCCCAGCTGTAGTCCACATGCAGGAACCATGTACGCACCAGGATCTTTCGACGGATACTGCTACTCACATCCTGCACCGTGTATAGTGCTTCATCCGTCGGCGCCCCCAAAACCCAGCTCTGACACAGCCGCTCCAGGTGCTCCCAGTAGGCCATCACCAGTGGGTTGTTGCGCAAGCCAGGGAACGACTGGCGCCCACACCATGTACTGCTGCACTTGGTATGCCAGCGCCGAACTATCTTCTTCCTCCAAATGCTCCAGAAACTGCCACAAGTCATGTACATGCAGTCCCGTAGACAGTCTCGCCGGCGGAGGCAGCGTAGCAAACGTCATGGCAGCACAGGCGAGGGCTAGGGAAGTTAAGTACAGAACAGGTTCAGTTAACTCAGAGAGAAAGCCAGGGCCTGCTTCCTCAGCCTCGGCTGTGCAGGAAGGAATGCTGTCATCATCACCCCACAGAGTCAGAGGAGCAAGGCGGTCGAGAAACATCCGGATTCCTCAGGCGAAGCCTGTAGTCTTAGTGTATCACTACCGACCAGACGAGCCGAGGACTCACCTAAACTACCCAACCTCCAGCAGTCTCAGAAACTGTCCCGCTCTCCCTCTTTTGCTGGGCAGGGCCCTGGTCTGTGCACGGCGGGCGACACCTACGGTCGCTGAGCCGATACTGTACGGCGTCACTAGCTTCGAGCATGCCGTGGCCCGTCGAGCAGAGACAACAAGCAGCTGAGTTTAGGGTGTAGGCCTATAGGACTGCAGCGCTTTCGGGGCTCAGTGCTTATAGCGCTTAGGTGTACTACAGGGGTCTTATTATTTAGAATAGGGCTTGGGAGTCTGTCATACTATAACTTTTGCAAGGAAGCCCCAACTATGTACAGGTATTTCGTAAGGCCTCTATATTCGGGCTTCCGGAGGGGTCGAGCTATAGGGGCTCGACGTCTTATTGGGCTGTAGGACTCAGGGTGTTTAGGTGTAGGGTTTAGGGCTTATTGGGCGGTAGGGTCTTGGGGATGGGGTCTTGCCATGAAGAGACCTGAGTTCATGTGCCGTGACAAGCACCGAATCCTAAAAGTGTCTGAACCCCTTCCTTAATTTACGGGTCTAGGAAGCCCTAAACCCTAAATAACTTTGTTGTTGGTTCCTGATTATGATTGCTTTACATAAGTCCTAAGTGACTTAGATTTAGGTAAGGGTTGAGGGGCTTTAGGTGCAGAGTGTAGGGTTAAGTAACCAGGCCCTTCTTGAAGGACTCTGAGAAGGAAGTCCTGATAAGGAGCCCTAGAAAGGCTAGTCCTAGGTTGTTTCGGGTCAGGTGAACGCTACGCGCTACAGACCCCGCATAACCCAAACACTAAACCCTATGTGTCCTAAGCCCTGAACCCCTAAGCCAGTCCTCTGTATACCCTAAACCATTAGTGATCTATTGCCACTCAGATAAGTGCAGCCCAGGGAACGATAGCGTGTGATGATGGCCGCGACAGAGGAAGCCTAAGTGGCTATTCCCTCCCAGTTTAGGGGCTTAGGGTCTTCTGGTTCACAGTTTCGGAGTTTCGTGGTCCTGCGCGCATCTAGGGTCGTGGCAACATGCTGCATTTCCACTTGTTGGCGCTTCCTCAAATTGGCGACTCGTTGGTGGTTCCTGTTCTCGTCTTTTTCTGTGCTGCTGCCACGGATTCCTCGAGGCCAGTAGCACTCTTGCACGGTCAGCCTGCTCTGCTTGCGAGCCTCGCGTTGTGATATTTGGATGACGTGGACCTCCCAACTCCTATGCTCTACTTGTAGAAAACAATAAGGCTTGGGGTTTTAGGGTTTAGGGTATTCCATACTACACTATTTGTACCATACTTTACCATGGTACCTTGCTCTTTTCTGCTTTGGGGGTTTGGAGGTACTTCGTTGCCATAAACCGTAGTGGTCCTTCACAGCTAGCGCTTTAAGGTAGTCAGTGCCGCGAGCGCCCGAATCCTCTGACCGCGGAAGTCAGGAAAACCTTCGCAAGGCCGATATAGTCTTCCCTAAACCCTGAACCGTGAATTTCGACACCGTGGACATGCAGGTCGGCTGCTGCTTTGGCAACATGACAGTTTCGAGGTTCCGGATGCTTCGGAACTGTTGCATCACCAGCATGTCGAAATAGCCCCGGCCAACACAAGAAGGGTCCCCTTTAAGGGGGTCTCCCTAATACTACCTAGGACCCAAAACCCAAAACCTCAAACCCTAAACCCCAAACCCTAAACTCTAAACCCCAAACTCTAAACCCGAAGCCCTAAACCCCAAACCCTAAATACCCTAAACCCCCAGGAGAGTAAAGAAGCAGCCACAACGAAGTCCACCAGGCCGAGGGCAGAGAAGGCGTAGGAAAACCGCCGGCTCCCCGATCCGAGGACTCGCAGAAGATACTCCTCGTAGGGGCTTGTTAGCCTTTTTATAAGCACTAGGATGTTGTAGGGTTCTAGGGTTTAGGGGTGTAGGGTTTAGGGGTGTAGGAGTTGGGGTTTAGCGCTGAAGGGATGTGATAGGGTTATAGGATGTTATAGGGCTGTAAGGTTACAGGGTGTAGGGTTTAGAGGTGCAGGATGTAGGGATTAGGGTTTAGGCTTATAGGGATTTGCTTTAGCGTATGCCGGAAAGATCAGGCCTCCATCACTTTTGGGTTTACGCTTCTGGGTTTTAGAGTTTAGGCGGCGGTTTAGAGTTGAGGGATCCAGGGTTCTGCCTTCACGGTACGGAGGTGCATTGTCGCTTCATTCAGGAGTTCCGATTTACTGTCGTCACTGGCGCTGTTGCTCCCGCGCGAAGGTTATGAACGCATGGGTCCTGCATGAGTACATGTTCCTTTAGTGGTGTTCCTTTTGCGTTGAAGGATAACTCCAGTGCTGTCGTGGTTGACCAGTGAAGTAATGGCTGCACGGAAACAGATGTCGTCGTCAAGGAGTCACGGCAGCAAGTAGTAGTGCTGGTGGTGGCAGCAGTATCAGTGGTTCGTCGATGACGTCATCGCCACCGCCGTCATCGTCGTAGTACTAGTCGTGGTTGTTTTGTCGCAGCGGTCGTGGTCGTCATGGTAATTGTTTTTGCTGCTGCCGAAGCTCTTCTTGCTGTAGCTGTACAAGAAAAAGCGACAACAAGCCTCTTTCATCCCGCCGAGGCTCGACGATGAAGAAGGCTGCGCAGGCCATCTCCACCACATCGTACATCCGCGTGTAGGAGGAGTGGGACCGGACCTCCATGCCATCTCCCTAAGGACACGCCGACTACGACTACGACGACGGCGACGGCTACTATGAGCAGCAACACCACGAACTCCCATTCCTAATCCGGCTCCTACTCCGATGCCCTTCTATGCCTACTCCTACTCCAACAGCTCCTGCTCGCAGGAGCACTTTACTTCTAGGGCTCACGCCCAGCATGAGTGTCGTACGAAAGATAGAAGTAGTACATAGCAAGGCGGCCTCAAAGTGTCTGCGCTTAGGGGCTGCACAGTCTCGAACACTTAAACCGTTTAGCTTAAGCCCGTTTGCATCAGGCTTGCACAGTCTCGCCTGGAAGTGCTGAACCTTTTCATGTTCGCTATCCTGAACCTGGATCTTATGCCTCACGCCCGGATTAAACCCAAAACCTTGAACTCCCTCGAACCTAGCAGTACCCTCTACCCCCGACTTGTCAAGCACTGAGTTACACGGTTTTTAGGATACAGTATCGTTTCGTTTATGCATAACTGTTTTAAGTAGTCCAAAGAAAAGCCTGCTAATTATCCATGTCCTTTTGTGGGCCCTGGAACCTCACGCCGAAGCCCGCCTCCGGCAAAGACATGACCACCGTCAGTATCACGCTGACTACGACCTCAACAAACTAGAGCATAGCAGAGTCAGCATAGTCTGTCTGTAAGTATGCTACAATGTACCAAACCCTAGTGTCATTACTAGGGCTCTTTTCAATGGTCTCCCTGAGCCCTAACGAAGTGCAGTGCACGCATGGGGTCTGAAAATCTCGGGGTTGGGTCTCAAGCTGTGGCTTCTAAGACCTCGGGCGTAGGGTTTACTGGGTTGCTGTTGAGGAACTTAAAATTCAGTTACTATAATCAGGAAGCCCTATTGTTCACTGTATATCCTCATTATGGTAACTTAAATTAGCAGTTTAGGGTTTTTGAGGTCTATCGGAGGCTTCCGCCCAAATCCTCGTCGTCGCCGTCGTCGTCGACGTACTATAGTAGAAGCCCACAAGTTGGAAACCCAATAGCCTCAATCCTTACGAGTCATGTATAGGGAATCTCGGCACTGATTCTTTCCTAAATCCGGTTTCCAACTCTTTGGGGTTTACTGTACACCTAAGTAGCCCGAGCTGTGGTTGTAGAAACAGGGCAGCCATGTCGGCCTTTGTGTATGGCTGAAGCAGGAGATCGGAAGTTGAAGCACAGGAGATCGGAAGTTGAAGCGCCAAGTGCACCGAGCAACGATGCAGATGGAGAGGAGGTTTAAGGTGAGCCAGAACTTTCGGTTCACAAACTCTTGCGACTTGTCCGTGTGGTGGAGGTCATCTGGCGAAGCCAAACTCACCTAAGAGGGGATGATCACGAAGAGGACATCGCAGTTCCTATGCTGTTGAGCCCATGTGGGCACTGCGTTCAGCCCACGAACCTTTAATTCTGGGTGAGGCTGCGTTGCAAATTCTAGATACGGCACCCGATTCAGGCCCGATCTCGAGATTCGGAGCTGTGCAGGCACACTTCAACACATCAACCCAGTCCGGAGACCCCGAGATGATGTGCGCTCGAATCCGAATGAACTTGAAGCAATACTGCTACATTCAGAGCCTCATTCGGGGACGCCTCCTTATAGCGTGATCCCAGCAATCAAAATCCAGTCCTTGCTGCGAAGGACACCCCTGCATCCCACGACCTTGTAAAGAGACTCCTTCGGGTACTTGTAACGAGGATACTTTCCCGGGATTTGTTGAAGTTTGTCCTTCATACAAGTCCTTCCGCGCAAGTTCACCTAACCCCCCAAACAAGTCATGGACCCTACACCCTAAACCCTAAATCCAATTTCATTCAGGTGACATACCGATCGCGTACCTGAGCTGCAAGTGTCTGCACCTTCCTCCGGGAACGAATTGACCCAAAACCTGACACCTGAATGCCCAAATCCCAGCAACATGCTCGAATGCCCCCTCCCGGAGACCCTAAGGACGGTCACGTCTGCATGACATCTGCATATGAGGCTTTTAGGGTGAAAAAGGCCCAGCAAATATGTTTAACTCAGGCTGCAGCGGAAAACTTTCCTTAAAGTTCTAGAACATGGATCCATCAAAGTTAACATAATACAAGGCCACTGCTCGCAACTATATGTGTGTGTACGCATGTATATATGCGTACAGGCTTGTCAATCTGTGCGTATCTAATTTGTACGTGCATACGTAAACCCATGCTTACCTGGGCTGGCATGTGTATCCGTATATGTGCCTGGTTGTGTACATGCATATGTGTCATATATAGGTATACATACACAGAAATATGTACATAAGTGTATACGGTTGGACACGCATGGGCATGTGCACATGCATCTGTAGATGTTTCTGCATGCGCCTGCACATGCGCATGTGTCTGTCTCTGTGTGTGTGTATGTCAGTATGTACGTTTGTATGCTTGCATGCCTGCATGTATGTGAATCAGTGCGTAAGTAAAGTAAGTAAGGAAGCAAGTAAGTAAGTAGGTATGCAAGCAAGCAGGCAAGTAAGTAAGTAAGTAAGTAAGTAAGTAAGTAAGTAAGTAAGTAGGCAGGTAGGTAAGTCAGTAAGTAAGCAAGTCCGTGGTCAGTCAGTCAGCCAGTCAGTCAGTCAGTAAGTGTGCATGTGGGCATGTGTGCATGTATGTCTGTATGTATATATCTATGTATGTGTATGCATGCATGCATGCATGCATGCATGCATGCATCTATGTGTGCGTGCATGTATCCAGCATACCCTGTATGCAAGTATGTCGGTGACGTTTGCATGGGCACATGCAGGCATGCATGAATGAGACAGCCAAGAGTCGGAGCCAGTGTCGGTAAAGGTGCTAATGATTTTGCTCACGGCCGAGCAGACCGTCTGGGTGGCCGAGGATGCCATTGGTTGAGCTTTCCGGCTCAAAGGGGCTTCGGACTTGAAGCGGGGAGGGGAATTGGGAGCCTGAGGGTTGTCGGCTTAGGCTTTAGGGTCGAAGTCACGAGTTTCGAAAGCACTCTACCTTGCATTGCTAAGGGTCAGGGTCTCAGGGGAGATGGGGGGAGGGGAGGGGCGCTGGCGGGTTCTTCGGGGTTAGGGGGCTTTCTGAGGCTCTTTGGGTTTCAGGAACACTTCAAAAGGCCTCGTAACCTAGTAACCCTGAAGGGTTTGAGCCCGCAGTGAGACGGTGGCGCTGTGAAAATCCTCCTGCTTGCTTCAGTCTTCGAGGGCTTTCTGAATCGGGGCATTCACGATTATTAAAGCTCTCGGGCCTTAAAAAAAAAGCCTTAATAACTCGAACAAGCGTTCGGTGTACTAAAAGTACACTGATATTCCGGAACACAGTGTTCCGAAGATATTCGACTGCTCGATTTGGTCTCAAGGTGGAGGCTGCAATCCTGAGGCCTCGAATTCAAAGTGAGCAAAACATTGTGGATGTAGGGTTTAGGGTGCAGTATCAGAGTCCGCTTGCAGCGCAGGGCTGCAGAACTCCACTTGCCCAGCAAGCGCACGCAAGAAGTCGACAACGCCCTCGCACTTAAGAGTTTATGACGGTCGTTGCACCCACAGATCCTAGCAGCTGGCAAGTAACTACTCAACTCCACCTCTTCTCTGAGGAGTGCAAAAAGGACTTGTGACTAGGGCAGTTACAAGCCTGTAGATAGGCGGGTGCCGATGTCTGCCTGTGAGGTTGGACGTCTAATTTTAAGCTGTTGAGCCCCTGTCCGAACTGAGAGTGACCGGGGCTTTCCAATACTTTTTCCGAGTTCTCTTGGCCATACCGGATGCTTCCACGAGCTACGGGTGTCTCAGTGGAGTTGCTCCGGAAGGTGGAATAAAAGGAGACACGAAACTCACATGACGAAAGGGACAACAGGTCGCCGGAACGGGTTACCTCCGCCCACAGGCTGCGCGAGGAGTCCCTGCCAGATAGGGAAACATGGAACCAGTAGTCCTTCACCGGCCAGGTCAGGTACCTGGGTAGTTTTCTGAATTGGGGTCCGATGTTGGGTTCGTTTTTATGAGGGTGCCGCACTGTTTTGCGGACCTAAAATGGGACCGTTCTTTAGAGAACTACCCACCTGGCATCTGCGGAACTCCACTGAACCACGGCTTGTTCCAGCAGCGAGAATCCCGCGGCGTGCTTCCTGGGCTGCTGCGGGCACCATACTGCATGCTAGCGTCTTCGTTCTGCGGCTGTAATCTGATTGATCCCACACAGACCGGGCTGCCGGTAGCCGGTTTTGAGTTTAAGGTTTCAGACCGAGCATCAGGTATCCGAAGTCATCACAGTCCGCGGGGCGAATTTGCACCGGCACGAGGCCTTCGGGTGTGTCTGCATCAGACCACAAAATCCTCGGCTCAGGATTCAAAACCTTCTGGTTGCGATTTCGCATGCTGTAGGGTTGACAATGTTAACGGGTCCTTCGACTTCTGTTGCCAGTCGTGATTGTGGTTGCTGCCATGAACTGCGAAGCCTGTGTCTGTGAGGCGAAATCTGCGCAGATGTCGGATGGAGAACTTAGTGAACCTCCATCGAAAGTGGCTGGCCCTTTCCCCCACAAATCCTCACTCTCACCCCTCATTGCATACACAAGGACCGTATGTCTATCCCTAATGACTGAACTCCCCTAGCAACCCCCAGCGAGAACTCCGACCCCAACATCTTGCTGAAAGAACTAATACAGTAGACCCTCACTACTCTACCCAAACAGTCCAACACCTCTGGCTTCATTACAATACTGTATACATCGCCTCCCAAAACTTTGCTGTTATGACAGTCTGCATGACTTAGGTTCGAGTCGTGTTGCCTTCCAGAATCGTGCTGCCGCCGCGCGGTGCAACTGGTTGGAAAATATATGTATAATTACATATTATATATATACATATTATATATATATATACATATATATATATGGGTATTGCAGAAGCAACTCTAAAGTCCAAAGACACCACAGCCATTCCTTATCCGCCTGCCGAAACACTCCATCACTCAGGTGGCAGCCGAGCTTCGTCTCTTTCAGGCGGACAGTCTCTGCGGGCTGGGAAGCCCTCGGCTTGTTCCGGGGGTCCTCAGCTCTTGTGAAAAGGCCGGTGCTTCCCAAGGGCCGCTGAAACAGGGGAAATGGCTTAGGGTTTATTGATTAGGGCTGATCAGGGCTTTGAGGTTTGGCTTCGGGTTTCCCCTAAACCCTACAGCCGGTTTAAGGGTTTAGGGCTTAGGGCACCACTCCCTGGCCCGGTTTCGACCCTCAACTTAACAGCGCCGACGTCCTAAACCGAACTTCACTATGTAATGGCTTGGGGTTTAGGGTTCAGGTTGTAGGGTTTGGGGCGAGAAGCCTTCGCCCCAATCTCCGAAACCCAAGTCATCAGAAACCCGAGCCCTTCATGCCCGAAATCCATGTACATAGCCGGCACCCAATAATTTCAATACAACCTTAAACCCTCATCCATATAACCTTCATCCCAGTCCTCAGCTTGGAAAGGCTGGGTCCATAAATACTACCAACCCTAAACCCTAAACCCTAAACACCTACACCCATACATCACATCAGGGCGATGGCTCTTGGCGACGACGCTTCGGCTGGGTCTGACTGCCAAGCTCTAGGGGTTCAGGACTCGGTTTAGGGTTTATAGGGTTGAGGGATTAGGGGTTAAGGTTTAGGATTAGGGGTTAAGGTTTAGGGTTTAGGGATTAAGGTTTAGGGTTTAGGGATTAATTAGGGGTTAAGGTTTAGGGTTTAGGGATTAGGGATGAGGGTTTTGGGATGAGGGACTAAGGTTTTTTAGGGTTTCGGGATGAGGGATTCGGGTTTACGCTCTCACGACTCGGACATGCCAGGCGAGGTTCTTGGTGCGAAGTCGGCGTGAAACGGGAAGCAAGAACCCCCTGACGGAAGAAAGACCGACTACTCAACACCGAGTGCTAAGACCCTTACCGTAGAAAAGCCCCTTCAGGGTTTAGGGTTTAGGGATGAGGGATTAGGGTTTAGGAATTAGGGATGAGGGATTAAGGTTTCGGGAATTCCTTGCATGGGTTTACGTTTCGCTTTGGAGTCTAGGGCTTTGGGGTGTCACTGACTCACTCGTGCCCACTGAACCGACTGAAGCCGAAAAGTTGAATTGTCCTTAATCCGGTTCCCAACTTTTTTGGGGTTTACTGCAAACCTAAGTAACCCTTCAGTCTCAAGCCCAAGCCTTGCCCAAGAAAGCACGAAACCCAGGCCGAAGCCTTGAATGAAGAGTGAATTAAACTACGTGCGGCTCAGTCTTAGCCAGCTTCGGATTTAGGATAGCTTCGGGTTCAATCTAAAATAAACCACCGGCATCAAGATGCGAAACAGCCCCCGATAGATCCTCAGAGCCCCTCGGCAGCCCCTCAGCGGAAGTAGCGGAAACCAGACCGGTCCTTAACGCCGCCTTGCTTTGACGATTTGCAAAGACTGACAAACGCAATCTAAATCTAAAACACCCGATCAAGCACCTTTCAGAAGCCCTCCCACACAAAACAAACTGTCACTTTCTTTCGGACGCTGCAAAGGAGTCTTCGCATAGCGAGGCTGTTGTGACAGGTTGCCAACCCGGCTCATGGTGAGCTCTGTTGTTTAACAGATCCGCAAGCGCACTACGCAAAACCTGAAGCCACCGCCGCCGTCAGGTGGCGGATATAGGA